TGAGTTGGGTTTGACTCAACAGCAGTGAGTTTGGTTTGGGTTTTAGTCACCCAGATGCCTCTTCCCAGTGGAGTGTTCCTGGGGTTGGGATGTAGAGCCAAGGCGCCAGGCCTGGGAGAGCCGCCAGGGCTGATGGTGAGGCGGGGCCTGAGTGCCCCAGCTCAGCTCCCCAAATACGGCCGTGGGGAGGCGGCAGGCTCCGGGCTCCCGTCCCCACCTCCACCCCACTCTCTGCTTCGGTGCAGCGCCACAGGAAGCCAACCAGCTTTGGGCCAGGGTTGTCACCGCCACCCTGGGGACTCAGCGTGGGTGGGAGGAGACAGCCCCGGGTCAGCGTTGTCATCGTGGTCCTGCGGCAATGGCGGGGCGGCAGTCCCTGCCGTTGGTGCTAGAGTGTGAAGGGGCGGGTGGGCACGTTGGGTACCCGCTATGCACGGTCCACTGTTCATCAGGTGCCCTCCCTGCCCGCCCTGCGCCCAGGGCTATCCATCAACTCCATGAGAAGGGTTCCATCCCCGTTTACCAAGGTGAGCAGACTAGAAGTGCATTGCAGGGCCACACCCAGAAGGAGGGACGGCAGAGCTGGTCACATAACTGGAGGGGGCAGAGCGAGGTGACCTGGTGCCACTGACCTTGGGGGACATGGGAGAAGGAGGCGTTGGAGGAAGGGTGAGAGGGGCAGGAGGAGCCTGGAGATGACTCCTTGGAAGCTTTTGGGGTCCATTTCTGGCTGTATGTGAGTACAGGCCTCACAACCCCATCCCCCCAAACCTCACAGGCCCCCCAGCAGCTGGAGTGGGTAGCAGGCAGCCAGGCCCCTGCAGGAGCCTTGGAACAAGGTGTTGGGAAGCCACAGAACGGCCCAGTGTCAGCCTCGGGCATGCTGCGTGACCAGAGGCACACCCCGTCTCTTGTCCCGAGTTAGCCCGCTGATGCGGCAGGTGGAGTGAGCGTGGAGCGTGGATGGGGTTGGCCACGTAGACCCTGGGCCTGACTGGGGCCTCTTGTTGCCTCTCTTCCCAGGACGCCCGCCGCCACCATCCTGTGAGGAGGGGGCCCCAGCCCTGGCACACAGCTCTGCCCAGTAGACTGGTACCTGCCCTTGCCAGCCAGGAGGGCCCCCGGCCCGCCAACAGCCCCAGACCGCCTCGCTGCGGTGTGCCTGACCCACCAGATGAGCCGAGCGCCCGCAACCGCCAAAAGCGATTTGTGCTGTCGGGCGGGCGCTGGGAGAAGACTGACCTCACCTACAGGTAGGCCTGCAGCCTCTCCGTGCGTGGCCACGGGAGAGCCTGCCACGTGTGGGAGCTGAAGCGTACATGTGTCCAGGCAGAGATGGGTGGAGGAGAGGGCTGGGTAGGGAGCATGCAGGTATCACCCAGCATTGGGATTGAGTTTTGGGGACCACAGTGGGAAGTGGGCACCAAGAAGTGATCTTGGGGGCCAGCATCTCCCTACAGGGAGAGGTCTGATCCGGTTTCGAACTTGGGGCTTGGAACTCCTGGTCCTGTGGACAGAGATGTGCATACCTGGGCCCAGAGCACACCTAGCCCGTGTTCTCTGTGTAAACAAACATACACACGCACACCCGCGTGCCCCACCCAGCACCCAGGGGCAACCCTGGGCCCACCTCCTCCTGCAGGATCCTCCGGTTCCCATGGCAGCTGGTGCAGGGGCAGGTGCGGCAGACGGTGGCGGAGGCCCTGCAGGTGTGGAGCGAGGTCACGCCGCTCACCTTCACCGAGGTGCACGAGGGGCGCGCAGACATCATGATCGACTTCACCAGGTGACCTGGCGGCCTGGGACGCCTCCGGGAGCAAGCCCCGCCTGCCGGCACACCCTGACCCCCCCCTCGCCTGCCCACCCGCCTGCAGATATTGGCACGGGGACAACCTGCCGTTTGATGGGCCTGGGGGCATCCTGGCCCACGCCTTCTTCCCCAAGACCCACCGCGAAGGAGATGTCCACTTTGACTATGACGAGACCTGGACAGTTGGGGACAACCAGGGTATGGGCTGGGGGGGCTGTTTTTCCAGCTGGGGCACATACACAGACAACTGGCGTGGGGTCCCCAGGCTGGGCGTGGAGCTGGGTGCTGTGAAGCAAGAGGCTAGGTGCCACACTGTCCCTTTGCCAGGCACGGACCTCCTGCAGGTGGCAGCCCACGAGTTTGGCCACGTGCTGGGGCTGCAGCATACGATGACAGCCAAAGCCCTCATGTCACCTTTCTATACCTTCCGCTACCCGCTGAGCCTCGGCGCAGATGACCGCAGGGGTATCCAGCACCTGTACGGCCGACGCCTTTCCGCACCCACCCCCGGCGCCCCTGCCCCGCGGGCTGGCATGGACACCAATGAGATCGCCCCACTAGAGGTGAGGCTCGGAGGGTGGGTGACGGCAGGGTAGGCCCAGGTGCCCCTCCCACCGGTCCTGTGACTCCATGCGGCCCTCCCCCTCAGCCGGAAGCCCCTCCAGATGCCTGTGAGACTTCCTTCGACGCAGTATCCACCATCCGGGGAGAGCTCTTCTTCTTCAGAGGGGCTTTCGTGTGGCGGCTTCGCGGGGGCCAGCTGCAGCCTGGCTACCCTGCGCTGGCCTCTCGCCACTGGCAGGGGTTGCCCAGCCCTGTGGACGCTGCCTTCGAGGATCCCCGGGGCTACATCTGGTTCTTCCAAGGTGAGTGGGGGTGAGGCGCTAGGCCTGAGACACTTCCCAGGGCCAGGAATGTCACTACTAAGGGGAGAGACTGACAGGCCCCCAGTGACACAGTGGGCAGGGAGGGCCGTCCTGAAGCCTCAGGGCCAAGGGTGCGTGAGTGTGGAGCATGCCCTGGGCACAGCAGGGGGCTTCTCCCAGAGGCGATGGCTCTCCAGAGGGGAACATCCTAGAAGCCGCTGGCATGGTGGGCTGGGGGTGATGACGCGCACCCTCACGAAGGTGCACGGCGGCTGTGCCCTGGGAGCCGCCCTGTGGGAGGGGCGTCTGTGATTGTGGCCTCCACTGTGTAGCTGGAGGAGGCCCTGGGTAGTGTAAAGGGCTTAAGCACTCAGCTGCCAAGACCAAAAGATTGGTGGTTCGAGGCTACCCACCGATGCCTTGGAAGAAATGCCTGGTGAACTATTTCCAGAAAACCAGCCATTGGAAACCCTGTGGAGCAGTTCTACTCTGATGCCCAGGGCTTTGTCCCAAGTCGCGGCTGACTGGACGCCCACGGGCTTTGTGTACACGAGATGTTGGGGGCTGAGACAGGTGAGCTCGGAAGAGCGGAGTGGGCGTCTGACCCAGGTCCGCTTCAGCCTGGAGCCTGTGTTTATGACTCAATGGGAGCCTGGCACGTTCTAGGCAGCAGGCCCACAGAGGCCCAGCAAACAGTGCTTGTGGGACTTGGGGCCGCCGTGGGCTACTGGGGTGAAGCAGGGGCTCAGGAAGTGGTCAGGAGGCCCGTGCTGGCTGAGCTCAGCACTGCAGCCG